CCTTACCTTTTTAACTCTTCATATTGTTTGTGGTTTGTGCAGAGTTTACCATCCCAACAGGTTAGCACAAAAATAAAAACACAGAATATGAGGGCAATAATGGCTTGTATGACTTACTAATATGTTAAGCCAGTCAGTTTTGAAACCAATGGCTCTTGTCTAGATTGTTGCAAGCCTATATGTGTTATATGACTTTAAAATGAAAAAGATATATTTGTGCCTGGTGGGTAGCTGTGGCATGTGGGTATTATACGTGAGTTTGACTTGTTTCCCAGATGAGTTGGACAGGGGCTATAAATTGTCTCTTTATCTCCAGTTTTATCTTATCGAAGTCCAGGCTATGCCTATGGTGTTATGTACCACATTTGTGGTCTGTCAAGTGCCTCACCCATGGTCTCTGGTGCCTCCGCTGTTGTTGGCTGGAGCTGTTTAACAACACCCCCAATCAACCCACATGTTCATTGCTAGTGAATGGAACTCAGTGACAGTTGTCACAACACCAAACCATCACCCTCCATCTTCATCCTGCAGTCAGTCCTCACCACCAACACCTCACCTGGCTGTGAGTCAATCCTCACCACCAGCACCTCACCTGGCTATTAGTCAGTCCTCACCACCAGCACCTCACCTGGCTGTGAGTCAATCCTCACCACCAGCACCTCACCTGGCCATGAGTCAGTCCTCACCACCAGCACCTCACCTGGCCATGAGTCAGTCCGCACCACCAACACCTCACCTGGCCATGAGTCTCCTCACCGCCAGCGCTGTCCCACAAGCTCCAGTCGTCCTCCACCACCAGCACCCCCGGTCTTGACCATGCGCGCGTGCCGGCAGCCGCCCGGCGTCGGTTCTACCGGTCGGTGGGTGTGGCTGGCGCCGACGGCCAGTTCGAGGTGAGCCTGGACCAGCGCAAGCTGAAGACGCCCGGCGGCCGCCTGCTGCAGCTGCCCAGCCGGCCTCTGGCGCTGGCCGTGGCACACGAGTGGGAGACCGTGGCCGAGCACATCCAGACCAGTCAGATGCACGTGGTGAGCTCCAGGGCGACAACATTGGCCGCCGGCCATTTTTGTTAGTCTCAAATACCTTGCCTCTGTAACCGAAATAGGGACAACCACATGGATGTCACTCTAACCAGACGTTTCAAATCGATGTGGATGGCCGCTCTAGAATTATGGCATCTGAGGGGACAGTTACCAGTATTTGTTCTGGACCACTCAGTGCGCGTGGCTCAGTCGACTGTGTCCGGAGCACGCTGTGTCATTCCGTCGGCTGTGTCCAGAGCACACCGTGTCGTTCCGTCGGTTGTGTCGGGAGCCCCGCCGTGTCGTTCCGTCGGCGTTGTCGGGGAGCACGCAGTTTTGTTCCGTTGGCTGTGTCCGGAGCACGCCGTGTTGTTCCGTCGGTTGTGTCGGGATTACGCCGTGTCGTTCCGTCGGCTGCGTCGGGAGCACGCCGTGTCGGTTGTCGATGACGGCCGGCCGGCGGTCGGTGTACCGCCCCGACCTGCCTCACCGCGTCCCTCGCGCCGCCGGCAGACGGGCCTCTGCTTCACCGTGCTGGACAACCCACACCGGAGGACGGACGTCGACCTGGCGCGCAAGATCGCCGGCTACCTCGACACCGACACCGTCCTCTTCCCTGTCGAGGTCAGCCGGGCCGCCCCCTCCGCCACCCGAAGCAGGGGGGGAGGACGCTGTCGTCGTTAGTGGGGACGGTTGGTTGTAGCTGGTTGGATGGAGAGCGTTCGCCTGGGGCCGCGCGCAGAGGTTGCGTGCCGCTGGCAGTGTCGTTGCTTGCCGTCGTGATCTGCGTGATAAATTGCCGCGCTGAATCAGCTTGGATGCTCCGTAAACCCATAAAATTATTAGCACTGTTGCCGCCTGGTCTCTTTTCAAACCCTGATTTTGATGTCTTTTTGTTGTGAGCACAATGTTACAGCACCGTTTCGGAATTTAAAACTTGATTTAAACGTTGATCTAAGAGTTTAACCCAACTTTCCCGCCACTATGAGGCTGGCCATCCACCGCGATTGATAACTTCATGATAACTTCACGAGAAGCGCCAGCTCGCCGTCGCACGCCACCACATGTCAATGCGTGGTGGGTGGGCCACACGTATGATGTCACAATGAAGTTACTCCGCCGCAGCTGCCGGCAGAGCTGGCCGAGATCCAGCGTCGCGAGTGGGGCGCCGTGCTGCAGTGGCTACGTCACCGGTTCGACGTTGCTATCGAGCCGTCCGAGCCCGGCTCCCTGGTCTCCACCGTGCCGCCGGAGACGGCGGAGACGCTGCAGGTACGGCGGCGGCGGGGAGGGGGACGCTGGGACGCGTTCCTGGAGCTGTGACGCGGGTGTTGACCTGTGGGGGTGCGCCGGCGGCCCGGAGGTGCGGCGGCGTTGTGGTGGTGACGCTCTCAGGGTGTCGGTGCGACGCGGATGATGTGGCGGGCGCGGTGCTGCGCCGTCGGAGAGGGGTGGTGGCTGCGGATGCTGTGCGCGTCCGCCGATGTTGTCCCGTGTGGACGGACCGACTGGCGCGCAAGGCCGTTGGTTACTGGGCGAGGTGTTGTCTGATGACAAGACTGGATAAGTATGCGTTTTCTGCTTTTGGTATGGAGCTTAATAAGTCGTGGAAGATCGACTGAGGGTACAGTACATGGTGTTGTGCCTGTGATTGGTTTCACGCGTGCAGCTGGAGTCTGGTAAAGACAGGCGAACTTTTCATATCCGGAGCTATCACGCTGTCGTTGAAGGTCAGTTGTGGCACTCTATGGAATGTATTGCTCCGTTTGATATATTATTAGATTCTATGATAACTCAACAAATGCTTAAATTATATGCTGAGCCATTTGCAGTGGATAAAGATCACTGTAGTCCCTTTGGTATCAATCGTCACTCTTGCGACGAGTCTTCAGGTCAACAAAGCTGGATATCCGGCCTCTCCGCGTCACGGCTCGTGCGTCGCAGTTATACGCCTTGTGGTGCCCGGCGGCTGCGCCGCGCCGCCCCAGCTGGTGTTGTCTTTCATTCTGTTGGATCGTGCCGAACCGCGCCACACTGTGCCGCCAGCAGGAGCGTGTCAAACTGTGACGCCGTCGTGCTGTTCTCTGTTTTGGTCAGCATTGTGGTCGTTATGGGTTATACTATACTGCTGTCATCAGCTATTCTCTGTTTTGGTCAGCGTTGTGGTCAGTGTGCCATACTATACTGCTGTCGTCATCTGTTCTCTGTTTTGGTTGGCATTATCAGTGTGTCATACTATGCTGCTGTCATGAGCTGTTCTCTGTTTTGGTCAGCATTGTGGTCAGTGTGTCATACTATGCTGCTGCCATCAGCTGCTTTCTGTTTTGGTCAGCATGGTCAGTGTGTCATACTATGCGGCTGTCGTCAGCTGTTCTCTGTTTTGGTTAGCATTGTGGTCAGTGTGTCATAATATGCTGCTGTCATCAGCTGTTTTCTGTTTTGGCCAGTGTTGTGGTCAGTGTGTCATACTATGGTGCTGTCTTCGGCTGTTTTCTGTTTTGGTCAGCATTGTCAGTGTGTCATACCATGCTGCTGTCATCAGCTGTTCTCTGTTTTGGTCAGCATTATCAGTGTGTCATACTATGCTGCTGTCGTCGCTGTTTTCTGTTTTGGTCAGCATTGTGGTCAGTGTGTCATGCTATGCTGCTGTTGTCAGCTGTTTTCTGTTTTGGTCAGCATTGGGGTCAGTGTGTCATACTATGCTGCTGTCGTCAGCTGTTTCTACCAGCGTCGCTGTCAGAACCCGTCATGCTGTGTTGTCCCTCTGACCTTCTCCGGCTGTCCGCAGCGGTATCTCTCCACACACAACACGTGGGCCCTGACCGGTCTGCTGTTTGCCATCGAAGCCGTCCGGTCGACGGTGCTGCCTCTGGCGGCGCTGGAGCGCAAGCTCTCGCCGCAGGAGGTGGTACGGCTCTCCAGGCTGGAGGCCGACTATCAGGTGCGCAGGAGACGGAGCGCCGGCGGCCATGCGGTCACGTGCCGCCGACTCAGGGCTGCCGCAAACCATCTGCTCTTGGCCAGTTACCTCAAACGCAAGGGTATAAAGCATAATAGGCGCATTTAAGTTTCGTGATGTCGGCGTGCTATGATCAAACCCAATTTGCTGAACTGTTAGCCGAAATGTAGTTGGTGCCTTTCTAGTCGCCCTTTTAAAAACTGATAAGGGTGTAAGATTTTTGAGAGCTGTAAAGGTGGCCTGCGCGGGACGGGTGTTGTGCAGCGTGCAGGGGTCTGGCCGGCCCCCGTCTCCCGTGCTGCATGGACGCCGTACTACCATTGAAGTGCGTGCGCCCGAAAGCCCAAATTATCGCCCTGTGCCATGCCGCCGTCCCGTGTCTTTGCGCCCCTGGTCTGACGGGCGGCCGTTTCCCGTGCCTTAGTCCCGTGTCTTTGCGCCCCTGGTCTGACGGGCGGCCGTCTCCCGTGCCTTAGTCCCGTGTCTTTGCGCCTCTGGTCTGACGGGCGGCCATCTCCCGTGCCTCAGTCCCGTGTCTGTGCGCCTCCGGTCTGACGGGCGGCCGTCTCCCGTGCCGTAGCCCCTCGTCTTTGCGCCTCTGGTCTGACGGGCGGTCGTCTCCCGTGCCGCAGGCGCGGGTCTGGGGACGAGTGGAGTGGGCGCACGACGTGGACTGCCTGGACACGGAGGCGCGCGTCTCTGCCGGCCTGCTGCTCGCCCACCTCTGCACGGCCACGTCACACTCGGTCCGACAGAAGGAGCGCTCGGCCTGACTGCTCCGACCCCCCCCCCCCCCCCCCCCCCCCCGCTGTCCGGCCCGGCTGGCGCTCTGGCGGCGTATGATGCTCCTCCCGGTCTGACCTCATCTGACCCTGCCTGACCCGGTGCGCCGCCGGCTGCGGCGGTGGAGGGCGCCGGGACGGGTGGTGGACGGGTTCTAGGCCAGAGCGGGGGCCGGAGCGTCCTGGTGGTCCCGTACGGGAGTGTGTGTCCAGTGTCTCTGCGCCTGACACACTCCGTGCTCGGGGTCAGGTTTATTACACGGCGTTCACGGCTGAATCGCGTACAATAAATAGTGTTACAATGTGCACTACATTGTGCTCCTTTCGAAGCAAACATTCAACAATGGTGACGGCCGCGCGCCGCCGTCTCGGCCGCTGCACATGTTGAGGTCATGGAGTCAACTGGGGCCGCGACCCCGCGACGTCAGACGGTCGGTGACATCCAACGCAGGGAAACACGGAACGCGAGCCTTGGAAACGGACAGATTCGTCTTGCACGTCACCTAGCAGGAAAGACCATGAACAAAGACTTCAGGTGTACAACTTATATTATGGAAGACCGTAAGGAATGTTTGGCCTCTTTGTGGATTTAGTCGCAGTCCGACATGGTCGCGGGGCGTGGCCGGCCTGGAGCAGAGGCCTGATCGCGAACTTTATGAAATCTCCCACACGTCACGTCATCGGTCGGTGGCGATCCGGACGTCTGCGTCCAGGCCGTCGGCGACCATTCGCAGGTCGCTGTAGTCACACTGTCACCCACTGCAGTCACTCTGTCGCCACACTGTAGTCGCACTGTCCTCTCACTCTCGCCCTTCGGAGCGATGGACGCTTCGCGCGAGAGTTTCTGTTTGGTACAACAGCCTCTTTTGCGAATCGGCAGTCTATTCCTTGATCACTTCAATGTAGTCCTCGGCCTCGATACCCTCCGCCCTCTTCCTACTCCGCGCCTGGATGCCAGTGTACGGCCGGTACGCAGTGATGGACTGAATCCAGGGCAGGTACTCGTTCACCTGGCGGAAAGGGAGCGTGGTCACCGAGCTGAACACGAGGGAAATCTGTCGATCTCGCATGGTGAGTCCTCGCAAAACCCCGCAAAGCTCTGGTGGCAAGTTCTCGCAAAGCTCGGCAAGGATGGCAAGTGGCGCGGCACGGCGCGGTGGCAAGTTCTCGCAAAACTCCGCAAGGATGGCAAGTGGCACGGCACGGCGCGGTGGCAAGTTCTCGCAAAACTCCGCATGGTTCTGGTGGTGAGTTCTCGCAGAGCCTGCAAGGCTTTGGTGGCGAGTTCTCGCAGAGCCCCGCAAATCACGCACGCGCTTGAATCCGAAACGTCAAAGTGTTGACATCGCCGTAAAGATATGGTACTTCTGGGTGCTCCTTTTGTAACAACGTTGGCTAAGCGGCATCGTTTCTTACCGTGTCCTCGGACAAATTTGGGAGCATACGGGTGAAACATTACACGGCATTGAAACATTATGAAACATTGCTACATGTTCTTTGTGTGTAACGCTGCATATCACGCGGCTTCAGCGGCAGCATGCATCAGCGTGGCTTTTACGCCGGTTTGGGGCCAGCTCCAAAACCGCCTGCCACAGGCTGCTGCGCTGTCGCTATGACGCGTCGAGATTGTCCGGCGGAGGTCGGTAGCCCGCGGCGGCCGCGGTACGCACCTTGACATAGACGCCGGGCACGTCTCGCTGGCCGCAGCCGACGCCCCAGGACACGATGCCGGCGAGGTAGTAGGAGCCGGCCTGCTCGCACACAAGCGGTCCGCCGCCGTCTCCCTGCCGGTCACGGGTCAGAGGTCAGAGCACGCCAGGGCAGGGGTCAAGCGGGGCCCGAGGCTGGGCAGACCAGCAGACCAGCAGACCAGGCCAGCAGAGTTTTCAGGACGCGGCTCAGCGTCCGGGTCTCAATCAGCATGAGAGACCCCGCCAGCGTAACCTGACCTCTGACCTCTCACGGATCGGATCTTCCAGATCTGGACGCACGACAGCCGCGAGGGTGCGGTAACATTTTCTCGTAGTTTTCTGGTTAGGAACTCCGGCAGGCTATGCTGGCCGCACAGCCGGCACCATGGTGGCGCGCCGGAGCGGCCCGAGGCCTGCCGAGTCGGAGCGACCCGAGGTCCACCGAGTCGGAGCGGCCCGAGGCCTGCCGAGTCGGAGCAACCCGAGGCCTGCTGAGTCGGAGCGGCCCGAGGCATGCCGAGTCGGAGCGACCCGAAGCCTGCCGAGTCGGAGCGGCCCGAGGCCTGCTGAGTCGGAGCGACCCGAGGCCTACCGGCTCGGAGCGGCCCGAAGCCTACCGGCTCGGAGCGGCCCGAGGCCTACCGGGTCGGAGTGGCCCGAGGCTGCGAGCGAGCGGGTGGCGTGCTGGCTCACCTTGCAGGCGTCCTTGCCCTCCTCTCCGCCGGCGCACAGGAAGCCACTGTGCAGCTGGAAGTCGTAGCCGAGCCGCGTGCGCTTCAGTTTTTGTTCGCAATCGTAGTTGCCCACCACTGGGACGGACACCTGGCGGCCGCGGGACGTAACATTAGTGTGTAGATGGCGGTAGCGGTGGTCCTGCCTGACACCGGCGGTTGGCGGTTTTGACTACCGCCTGGTGTTGTCGGTGCGTGACTATGGATTGGTGCATGGCTTGAGGGTCAAAAATTATTCAAAGCTGTCACTTTCTCAGAAACACCGTCATGATTTGCTACACTTGTTAGCGTCTTTTACGCGGTGTCGCCGAGAACGGGACCGTTGCCCCGGCCGGGACCGTGAAGCAGCAGAAGAGCCTCACCTTCTTCAGCACGTTCTGGAAGTTGCCGAAGTCTCCAAAGGCATCCTTTCCCCAGCCGGAGGTCCAGCAACGCTGGTTGGTGAAGTCGGCGTACTGTGGCGGGATGCACACCGGTCCCACGTGCAGACTGCGGCGGGGCAACGTCAGGTCAGGTCAGGTCAGCCTGAGAGCGCCGTCCGCCAGGTCATAATCCAATCACTCGGGGAAGGAAACGGTGTCGTCAGCGCTAGACTATTGACTAGAAGCACGCATTCACGCTCGTGCCGCGTCCTTCCGCGTGTCGCAAGCCGCCCGTTTCCCTTTCGGTGGCTGTGCCAAACTGGGCGTGACTCCCCAGGCTTTGGCTGATTCGACAAGCTGGCGGCTTCCGACTGCCGCCCTCCCGCCACTCACTTGTACACGGTGTCGACGGGGCTGGCCAGCTTCAGGATGGCGATGTCGTTGTGCAGGTTGCCGCCGTAGAACTCCGGGTGGATGTAGATGCCCGACACGTCCTTCTCTACGTGCGGATAGAACTCGGTCTCGTGGTTGACGTCCCATTCACCCAGGCGAATGCGCAGCGCGTACGGATCGTAACTGAAAAAAACCGGACTGATAAAAGAACCATGCAGCGGGGTCGTAATTGAAAAGGACTGAACTTATCAGCGAGGTACGTCGATCTGGGCTCACCGAAGCCTCTTGCCGGTCAGTGGATAATGCGGGCAATGTACTGGGCTGTTCCTCACATTAGTTGCATCTGGGACGAGCCGTGTCGTCCTTGTTATACACGCGCCTTGCATTTGTATGTCTTCATGCTTTTTGGGGTATGTTTTGGAGCATCCTCTCTGCTGTTATATAGCCCATATCACGGGTGATTGTCTTGACTAGACCCAGAGCATCGAGCGCTCTCACAGATCCCTCCTGCCGATCGTACAAACCCGCTCCCCACACCCTACTTCAGTTGAGAGTTATTGGAGTTCTGCAGTGGGACGAACTGTGTGCTCCAGAACGTATTCAGCCTGCAAATGACTATCAAGGGCTGTGCTTTGCATGCGATATACCAGAAACATTTCCTCTTTTGTCCTCGTAGTGTTACGAACTTTCTTCCGGAGATGTGGCAGCGCCGATAGGCGAGCGATTTCAGCCGGCTCGTACTCAGAGTGTACCTGAGGGCCGGTGCTGCCCCCAGGGGTAGCAGCGCCGATACGCGAGCGAGTTCAGTCGGCTCGTACTCAGAGCGTACCTGAGGGCCGGTGCTGCTCCCCAGGGGTAGCAGCGCCGATACGCGAGCGAGCTCAGCCGGCTCGTACTCAGCGTTTCTGAGGGCCGGTGTTGCTCCCCAGGGGTAGCAGCGTCGATACGCGAGCGATTTCAGCCGGCTGGTACTCAGGGCGTTCCTGAGGGCCCGGTGCTGCTCGCCAGGGGTAGCAGCGCCGGCGTGCGCTCGGCTGTAAGCCTGACGCGGTGTTAACAGCCGTGACAGAGTGTATTCATACACCCGGTCACGGCCGTTAACACGGTCGTGGTGGGCGCACACTGGGCTATGCTTGGCGCGGCTAGGCCACGTTACTACCGCTGTGTCTGGGGTGATGCCGCCCGTTAACACCGCCGTGTCTGGGGCTATGCCGCCCGTTAACAGCCGTGTCTGGGGCGATGCCACCTGTTAACCGGCCGTGTGGGGAGCACGCCGGGCTCCATATCCCCAACCGCCCCCACCAGACGCCCGTTTGGGAGTGAAAGCAGCCGGTGGCGGCGGCGGGCCGCACTGGTGCATGTCGAAAGCACGACACTCCTACAGAGGCTGGGGAGGGACGTGGTGAGGCTTCACGCCGGCAAAGCAGGGGAGGGAAGTGGGGAGGCTACGCACCGGGCGAAACAGGGGATGGGGGGGGGGGGGGGTGGGGTAGTTACACGTGTGCTGCTCACGAGTTCGCCCATGTGTGTGCTGTTCTGCGAGACAGTATTGTTGGGTTTCAGGCGCTGGATATTGGGCAGAGGTGGTGGGTGGAGATGTCGTGCCATCGGTGAATGTACTTGTCAGTGCAAAACCGGCTTCCGCAACTTTCCCATGGGCCGGAGATTGAGATCAGGATACTTCAACCATGCACCAGTCTGGCTGCTGTTCTCCAGAGACTGAGAGAATGGCAATGTCGACACATGTTAACGACCGCGGGTGTACCCAATGACGGTGCCGACAACTGCCAACGCCCGTGGCGTACCCAATGGCGGTACCGAACACGTGCCAACGCTCTCGGCCGTACCCAATGGCAGTGCCGACACGTGCCAACGCCCGCGGGTGCACCCAGTGGGGCGATGCCGACACGTGCCAACGCCCGCGGGTGTACCCAGTGGGGCGGTGCCGACACGTACCAACGCCCGCGGGTGTACCCAGTGGGGCGGTGCCGACACGTGCCAACGCCCGCGGGTGTACCCAGTGGGGCGGTGCCGACACGGCGCGCCTCGCCTTAATTATGATGTGATGGTGTGATGGGATCCGTGGTGCAGCGTCGCCGGATGCAAGGTACACATGTCAAGCCACGGCGATGACCTGGCGGTACGGCCTCGCGGCACTGAGTAGGCGCCGTGCTGCCAGGGGCGTACCTCTTGACGCAGTGGGCGGCCGTCAGGATGTACTCGGTGCCGATCAGGGAGCCGGCACACACGTACACGTTGTCGGCGCCCTCCTTCTTCAGGATGGCCACGTGCCACGGGAATTCACCTGTGGGACAGAGCAGGCCAGAGTAAGTCAGGTCAGGGCTGCAGCCTGGCGGCGGCAAGACGTGGCGATAGCCGACAACCTCGGGTTAGTTGACGCAGCTTGAGCTAGCCTGGATGTAAAGCGCGATATTTTCATGTCTTCGAATGCGTTGTCGTATGCGCGATGCGTTGTTTGCCTGACCTTTTGCAGTCTTAAGCAGTCATCCTAAGTGGAATGCGGTTCGACTGTACGAATGGCTTTTCTAGGCAGACATAAGTATCTACCTGTAAATCTGTGGTGGTGTAAGAGGGTTTTCAGGAACGTAAAACTCGCGGCATAGTGCCATCATAGGGATTGATGGTAGAACTAGATGTTGCCGAAACGCCTTATTATTTCAAGACAACCCATGCCGTCCGAAGTACAGCGATGTGTCCTATCCAGCTTTCTGACGTCACCGCCCCACGAACCACTCACGCCTTCCCTGACGTCACGGAGCTGCCGTCAGCCACTCACCGAACACGGTCTCTCCCTCCCTGACGTCATAGTTCTTGATGCGTCCGTTGACGGCGTCCGTACGACCGACGCCGCAGCTGCCCGGCTGCTGCCTGCCCTGCGAGCCGATGGGGATCGGGTTCCGGCAGCAGACGTCCGTATGGAAGCAGCCGCGGTGGTTCGGCTGGTAGCCCAGCTGGCGCTGCCAAATGGGAGCGTGACGTCAGTGAGGGGGGGGGAGAGTTGCTGATCATTGTGATCTCAGGCTACCTCCAGGACGAAAATTTAGCGGTTAGCACTGCTCGCGTTGCATCGGCGTAACGTTCACGGTCCAGATGAGCTCAGTTCCAAAGCTGACATGCCGACTGATCCTGAGCACTTTTTCCACCTTTTGGATGTAACCAACGCATGAGGTGAAAGCAGCTTTGTGGGGTTCATTGGCCGTGACCACAACTGTTGCTTTATTGACGAACCGACCGTGGCTATCAGTGTTTTCCAATAATTTTCACATTCATTGGGGACTAAGTGACATTGGCACTCGCAGATGCGATACAAAGTGTGGGTGCGTGGCATGCCGGTAGTTGCGTGATGTACCGATAAAGCTAACATAAGACCCAATGCACAAAATATTGCAATGTTGGGTATTGATTGGCGAATTCCAAGGGTTAACATGTAAGCAAATGCTCGCACTCGAGGTCGAGGGTCGGAGACTCGACGGCTTGCAGCTGCTTTCGCGTGCAGTGAGACCGCTGAGGTCACAGTGTTATCGCCCAAATGAGGCGAGGACTGATGTCATGTCACATAGTTGGTGTGGCTTGCGGAACGAAAAATCCCGAGACCTATCGTCTGTATCTGCACGTCTGTACCGAGACCTATCACTGGATCTAGCAAAGCCTATCAAGGGAGCTTTGCAGTTGGAATGGCATCCCTTATTTTTCATAGTACTTTCTGGAAATCATTAACAGATTCCTTTCAAAACAAGGCTCCCCTACCATTTCGCCGCTTCCGAGGATGACGTGTCGCCTGTAGCCCACGGAATCGGTTTGATCGGTCATCTTTTTCAACTCATGTCATTAAAGTCACTGACCCCAGACGAGCCCACTTCAAGATTACAGCTATGACGTCGGATCAAGGACCGTCAACCGAACCACAAAGCCGTGTGGATCGCACGAGCGCCGATGAACGCCGGTGACGAGGTCGCCCTGGAACGCGTCTGTCGTCACGGCCGACGGCCATCTCCGCGCGCCGAGGCAATGCCGCAAGGAGCGGCCTGATAATCCTCCAGCAGGACCACGCACCCCGCCGTCCCGACCGCATCGCCCCCGGGCTTCCCCACCGTGACCGATATAAGAGAGGGGGGCGCAGGCGACCCTCGGCCGAGACACAATCCTCCCGCCGCTCCTCTGTCGTAAGGCTCGATTGAGCAACAACGCCGCACCGTGGGCAGCCGCGGACAAAGCCGCGGCCTCCCGGTGCCGGACAAAGCCGGAGCCGGCCGGCGCCGGACAGGGTCGGAGCCGGCCGGCGCGCGCGCGGGCTGGACGGTTTTTGCGGCGCTGTTGCGACAGTGGTGCAGCTCCGGCGGAAGCAGGCGCGCCGGCCGACCGCCGACGCTAATCGCAGCACCGGGTCACCGGCACGCCAACAGTCCAGGGGAGGCAAGATGAATGCTCAGTTTGGCGGCAACGTGGGAGTTGGGAGGTCACGCGAGTTGGGGGTCACGAGCGTCGGGAACGGAAGGGGTAAGCTGCTAAAAGGGTGGGGCTGAGTCATGGGAGACGTAGCGATCATAGGACTCAAAGCGGGTGCCGTAATTTTAAATCTGACGGGAGGAGCAATCGAAATTTTAATTGACCGTAGTTTGTGCAAATGTTACCCCGCCTCCATGCACGACTTGCAAGTTTTGAGGGCCATGTCATCCCTGTTGGGTGCCATGTTTCGGTAATGCTATAGACATAAGCCATGCGCATGTGGAATGTGTCTGAGTCATGATATTGGTTGCGGGATTAGAGAGCGGGTCGAGATCACACACATGGAGCTTGGGAAGATTGCTGAACGCTGGGCAACCGTCGATTGTCATCCCGTTGTCACCAGGGGGCTATCGATAGCAGCGACTTACAAAGTAAAAAAGACTGGCGCCATGACAGCAACGGGATGTCGCCCATCGCCCCTGCGAAACGAGAGGACGACCCACTCGTCGCCATCATAAGGGGCTTTCGCATGTGAACAGATGGGGTCACGTGCCTGTACGTGGTAAGTGTCTGTGTTTTGGTGGCTCTAAGTTCGTCGAACTATTCACTCATGCCTGGTGTGCTATGTCGCGATGCAACAACTGCAGCTTGGCAAAGTCGTAACGAATAAGTACGGAGTCCCGCATAAGTCCAGAAGAGTCTCAAAGTTCCGAAGTAATCCGAGTGCGCGCATATTCTGCGTTGCTCGAGTTGCGGATCATTTCGTAGGGGCGCCACGAGCTCAGGAAAAAAACACACGCGTATGTCAAGCTGCACGATGGATATGCTGTACGCTGCACACATATCCCCAAATTGCGCTTATACATCCCCAAATTTGGAATGTCCGTTCGGCAAACGCCGGGAGTTCGACGGACGCAACTGCCGGCCATCGTATCCCTCTACTGTAGAACTCAAGCGTACGGCACGGACAGAGCCTAGTGGAGCCATGGGGTGGATCGGCTACGCGTGTCCGCCATTGCTTGATGGGTTCTACGCGTCCGCCGCTGTTTCATTGAGCCGCTTTCATCGACATTCCAGACGGCTTGTCTATCCGTGTTTTGCTCCCACGCCTCAAACAGGGATTCAAAGGACTCTTTTCGTGTTTTCAGAGAATTTTGTGAAGATTCCGCTTCTGGTTTTAATCGCCACACATCAACGTTATCTGCCTGACACCAAATCTGGTTCATGGCCTCCGCGACCCGTCCTGATTGCTGCCATGTGCTTTTCCCGAGAACCAGCTTTCATCTGACGCTTGTATCGCGTGCTATCGCAGTCAGCGCCCACACAACAGGCCGCTCTGAGTCTCGATTTCTCGACCGCCCGCGCTCGCGTGCCGGGCTCGACGGCGCCCCCAGCTGCATTGCATTGACCTGTTTGACCATAGCGTCGCGGCAGACCGGCCGCCGCGACCACTTTCACTCGTGCCGGCCGTTTTCGCCGGGCGCCGTCGGATGGCGCTAGTGTCGGCACCGCTCGTGATAAGCGACTGTCGAGCAGCGGCGTTGCTCCCGCACAGTTATTGAGCTCTGGCGCTGCTCCGGGCTGTATCGGTCGGGTCCGCCGGCCAGCTCGGAGCGTGGCCTGGACGGCTTCCTGGTTGGGCAACGCCTGCTGACGAACACTACTCCTCCGAGGCCGCGACCGGTCCGCGCCGACCTCTCGAAAGACCCGTGCCATGGCACGAGGAGCGGTTGACGGGAAGCGCAGCCCACCGGACAGGCGCACCCCGACGGGACTCATTGAGGGTGGGGCCAGTACGTCTGCACATCACATGTTACTCAACCAAGCTGGTTGACTCAGAGCGCACAAGATAATGTGGTTTTTATCATGCCATAAATGTAAAACTGCCGTCGGATGGCCACCACCCTATTAAATGTTTCGCGCCGCCGCCTTTAAGCTAGTAAAACAGGCTATAAATTTGACGTTCAAAATGCAGCCCTGAGCCAAAGCCTTAGCAGAATGAGTGAACTAGCAAGAATAGCAAGATAATTCGAAATCGTTCCTTCTCACACACTTACCGGAGACGTCGGTCAACGCTCTCTCTGCCACACGAACAATGACGGGGAAATAACCAGTGCGATCTGGTTTGAGAGCCGAGAACTGGACAGCGCTCTCACCAAGCTCAGTAGAGCAACCCTTCTCCGGTTCCAGTGAAACTCGCTCCCTAATATCGATATGGATTGGGATATACCATTAGTGCCGCTCCTTGACTGGACCATCGACAGTCAAGCGCGCATTGTCAATCTGTGCGAAAGTGTCTACACGGATGCTAGTTTTCTACAGACAGTTTTGACAAACCGCTCCAGCACCCCAGCCTCACGGTATAGCTTCGCGACTCAACGATGGACTTTCGCCCCACACCAAGTGTCGCACTGCCCCTCCCGCAACGACACCATCCCCTGGCCGTCTGCAGCAGGCCACCTGTCAGACGGGTTGAACGTGCGCAAGACACCAGCACCGAGGCGCAATCTCCAGCCTTCGCGTGGAGCCCCTGCCTGACGCAGGCGCCGTACTCACCCCCTGTGCGTCGGTGACAAGCTGTCTACCCTCGGGCACCTCGGGCGTCGGCTGCGAGCTAAGACGGCTCAGTTGGCGGGCCTCGGTCTCCTGCGGCTTCGTCAGCGTCGCACGTCTCGTGCGAGACACCGTCTCCGACCCCGAGGCCGCCGCAGACACGTCCTGCTTCTCCTCCGAGATGACGGCCTTGACCTGCGGTGGGGGGGGGGGGAGGGGGAGATCAGCGCAGGGTGGACGTGTGGGCGGGACCCGCCGTCACCGACTGAAGGCGCACAGGCGTACCGGGTCCGCGCCTGGCAGCGTAGACACTGGAAAGCGAACCAGTTCTGGACAGCTGGTCGCATGCGTCATGTTTTTGTCGCGTTTCAGGACAGCTTTGGTAGGATTATCTGTTTGAGTCTTTCTTTGCTGTTTGTTTTGTTGTGCCGATCATAAAGGTGTGATCAGTTTTCTCCCACATTACCCGCTAGTCTCGTCCCGGTTGAGAATTTGCTGATGGTGAACAAAGGTGTGGTGTGGCACATGGTGAGAACAGACGAGGGGGACACGATCAATGTCTCCCAGTGACTCCTTACGAGCATCTGTCAGCAATGTCACCGCATGGCAGTCCATGAGCCACCACATCCTCGTCTCATCCTTCTCGGGCCAAGACAGCTCATCATGACGACGCCCCCTGACCGGCGCCATCCCCCCCCAGCGACCCTCCATCTCCAGATCCCTTCCCCCCCATCGTAACCGAGCTGCCGCGAGCTGCCTCTCTGGCCCGCGTGACCCTCCCCCTCCCCACGCCACTGAGCCTGCCTTCCTATGTGACTCTATGTCCCTGTCTACGCGACCTGGCGTGGCCAGCCCGCCCTGTGACGCACCTGGGCCAGGATCTCGTCGCCGTCGAGACTCTTGGCGACGCGCGCCAGTGCGCTGCCGTTGCGGAAGTTGGCGCGCGGACTGATGACGCTAAGGTCGACAGTGCCGCGGCCGGCGCGCGCCGACACCACGTCTACGGCGTCGCACGCGTAGCGCGGCACGCACACGCAGTTCTCGCGGTAGTAGAGCGAGCCGAGTCCGCTGGCGGGCCTGCCGAGGCTGGCCGCGCCGCCGCCGCCGAAGCCGCCGGCGAGCGTGGGGTTGGTGAGGCCGGCGCCGCCACCGAGGCCGCCCGACACCGGCCGGTTGGCGATCTTCGTGACCCCCGGGCCGAGGTTGGAGTTGACGAACGCGCCGCTGTTGATGGAGGCGATGCCCAGCTCGGGGCCGCGGTTGACGCCGGCCAGCAGCGGCGTGTAGGTGGGCGGATAGACGGGCAGGCTGACGTCGATGGCCTTGCCCGGCCGGCCGGGCTCGATGTGCGTGTGGTGGTGCGTGTGGTGATGCTCCTGCACTGGCGCCGGCTGGATCGGCGCGTGACTCACCGTCACATGGCTGTCCTTGCCGTGGCTGTCGTGGTCGCCGTGGTGGATGTGCGTAACGTGGTCGTCGTGGTTGTTGTGGCTGTCGTGGCTGTCGTGGCCGCCGTGCCGGACCGGCCCGTCCCGGTGGATGTCGTGGTGCGCCTTCGGCGGCGTGTAGTGACTGTTGATCGGCGCCGGGTACGCGCCCTTGGGCGGGCCGTAGCCGCCCTTCGGTGGCGGGTGATACGCCGGCTTCGGCGCGCCGTAGCTGCTCTGCGGCGGCCCGTACGACGGCTTCGGCGGCGAGTAGTGCGAGTTGACGGCGGCCGGGTAGCCGCCGCCGTGGACGGGCGGGGGGCGGAGCGGCCCGAGAGGCGCCGGGCCGACCGGCGCCGAGCCGAGCGGCACCGCCTGCACCGGCGGGCCGTGAGCCGCCAGGCGCACCGGCTGCACGAGCAGCACGTTACCCGGCGGCGCAGGAGGCGGGTACCGCGGCGGCGGCGGCAGGTCGTCATCACACTGTGGAAACACCAGAGGCGGTGATCAGCCGCGCACAGTGAGCACGTCACAGGCCGGCCTCATGTGGAGTAGTTGTCGCTCGTCTGACATCAGATTGACACGACATGCCACGAATACACCGTGAATGGCTTCTTGGGTCGTTGCGGTAGTGTATTTATGCATCGCTAAATCGTGCGAGGCGTCACGCTACTAAAACAGCTTCAAACGTGACGTCGGGGTGGAGGCTACTCGGACATCAGTCAGTCGCGTATGGCATATATGTAGTGAGGTTTTCAGCCTATTTCGCGCAGTTTCAGAGCACGTCATCTTCCACAATAACGGCCCTCTCCCCGTGATCGGCATACGTCACTTCCGATACCTGGCTAGCGGAGCTCACTCCCTCCCCCAGGCTACGAGGATCGCCGACGGGTGGCACCGGTCACTCACGTCCACCAGGCCGAGGAAGCACAGCTTGTTCCTGATGAAGGAGCGCGCCTGCGTGTCGTTGCCGGCCTCTAGCGCCGCCTGTACCTCCGGGTCGTTGTAGATCTCGTCGTAGGTCTCCGAATCGATCGCCTTGCCCCCGCGTGAGGAGTCTAGCGCGGACTCTGTTGGCGACCCGAGGCGGATAGTGGATGCAGCCAAATTCGTCGTTCCAGGGGCGAGTGGGATTAACATCCATGACCACACGGCAGGGTCAAAGGCATAACATTCAACAGACTCAAATTGTCAAATAGATTCGACAGACTCAAAACCTGAGAGTATTTACTAGTGATTCCTCAGACCATCATGGAAGAAGGTTCACGTCTAAATATCACGGAGCCTTTGCCCCTTCGCTCCATCTAAGCCTTGCGTATGGGTCTCCCACTTCTGCCCAACACAGAAACAGGACAGATTTACTTGCTCGGATGTCGTTCCACAGAATGAGTTGGGGAGAGGGAGTGAGGGGCTATAAAAATTACGAAACCTCACCTCCAAATAAGTATGAAGATATTTCATGTGTTCAGAATTTAACGCCGTCGACGTCGGTACAAGTCACCTGAACCCGCTACCTGCTGTTACTCACCGGCCACGAAGTCTCCGGAGGTGCCCTGGACCACCTTGGCCTGGGGCAGAGTGTCAGGCGGCTCCGTGAAGGCCACGAACCCCTCTTCGTCGGCGGTCACCTCCTCCACTGGCGCAGCGGCCGGCTCGGTCGGCTGCGCTGGCGCCGTCTTCACCGCCTTGCTGGTGCGACCCCACACCCACTCGGCCGACGCTCCGCCGTTGCCTAGCAACAGCAGGGCGGCCAGCAGGCCAACGCTGCGCGGCTGCATCGCGACACTCCTGGAGGGAGGAGCGGAATGAGTGAGAGGCGACAGACGTGGGGAGGGGAAGGAGGCCCCATGATCAGAGGCCCCTGTTCGTTCGTCCCATGAATATGAACCCTGTTCATCCGTCCCCTGTCAGCGCTATTGAGCGGGGGGAAGGTGTTAGAGCTGCCAATGTGCTGTGGTGGTTCAGATACTGTGAGAGATTGCTTCCGCTCTTGCGAGCTAAATTCCGAACTTATCGTTACCTGCACAAAACAGTCTTTGCAAACTGCGCTCTGAACTTTGAACCACGCGAGCCGGATTACCAGCATCGGAGCTGGCAGGAGCCGCTCCGGTGGCCCCTAGTACGAGCAACCAGTGGAACGAGATTGAGTCACCCCGGAACGAAACGTGACTTCTCAAAGCCCACGCGATAGAAAGCAAAGCCGGATGCTGGCATGTGGCCACCATTCTGAGCGTCACTGCCGCACGCGCCAATGGCCAGGCGCTGCAGGGCTCCCCCACCGGGCGGGTCTCGACGTAGACGGCCTAGCCAGTCAGGTGTGCTGTATTGTATCATACGGCAGACACCCGCGTGCCTTGCTCCAGATCACATTGCGGAACCCGTCTCTCACGGTGTGTGCTCGCTCTCGCATTGCAAGGCATTGACCGGGCGCTCTGCAGAGGTCAGCCCAGCGGCGTCCCGTGTCCGGAACGCAGGTCAAACCCACGGGTCAAACCCATGGGTCAGACCCACGGGCGAAACTCAGTGGTCAGACCTACGGGCCAAACCTGCGGATCTAACCCACGCGTCAAACCCACGGATCTAACCCACGCGTCAAACCCACGGTTCAAACCCACGGGTCTAGCCCGCGGCTCTATCTAACCCGTGGCTTCAGTCTGCGGGTTCGGCTTGGCCGGCCCGGACCGCCGGAGAAAGTGACTGTGTCTGCCCGTGGCGAGCGGCGCTAACTCGCGGGGGCGACAGCTGACCGGCTGCCATATGTGACGTCACAGCTGCGGTTTTCGCGATGATATCACAGCGCCAAGAGGCCGATAAACCTTGTTTGTGTCGGGTTATTGGCCTCCGCGTTAAGACGTAATCTCCACTGTGCAATAGCTGGAAATGTGAACAATGAACACAGGGAGGATTGAGATCTACATGCCAGTGGTTCATTTTTGGTCGTCTGCGTGACGAGCCAGCAGCTCGGGATAAGTCCCAATAAAAAAAACACGTCGAATGACGCCCTCTCTGCAAAATGAGAAAGCATCTCACTGCTTACCATGGCATTTTGACACTGCGACATCACAATGTACAAATGCAAATTTTGCGCGTCACTATCAATGCGGCGATAGATTTACAGATTATCAGGTTACACTCGCGCAACCAAGCTTCTCCATTGCATAATGGTCAGCAGCGTGAGCCATGAAGGTCGCTGCTAGGCCAGGCTCGACACGTAGTGAGCTGCGCCAGGCTTGTGGTCGTTACTCACCCTGGCTCGAACGAGTATCAGAGGCCCCTGACCTGGTTTATGCTGGCCTGCCATTAAAGGTGGTGAAATGATGTCGCATTCGGCGTGGGCCGTGAGGAGCTCGTCTGGGATTATCTACATACTGTTACTGGTTAAAAGGGGATTTTGTGTGATAAGAAAATGCCATTGGGAGAAAGAAAACTTGAAATAAGTAACATCGTTTGTTGCACATACTCAGTGGCATCAAACTTTGATAATGGGTTTCCAACCCATTGCATCGCTCAATATTGCCAGCTGTTCGTTGTGGTGGTCTCTCAAGCTTTAAGCAATTAAGATGAATTGGTGTCAGTACAAATTAGTTTAACAAGATCCAGAAGCCACTGCTAACCGAGAAGCTGGATTGAATAAGAAGAATGCTGAGTTTGCTGTTCTTCCCTCAAGTTTTCAGTTAAAGGTTTCCCATCCCACAAACATCCCGCATGAGTTTCCCTGTCATTCTGAGACTCTCTCCATTCAGTCTGTAACCAATGACCCTGTTTAAGATAGCGTGCACTGTGTCTGCGTTTTACAACCAACAATTTGCATAGCGCCGCCGCGCCATAAAAGCACCGGCACCGCATGCACAATACGAGGGGCCGACGAGATGCGGCAGGACTGCCTGTGATGCGGGCGTCTCCTCCCACGGCCATGACCATGAGTGTTCTGCACAATCTCTCTCCGGCGCGGTACCACGAGCCTCCCGCGTCTCCGCGTCTCCCGCGTCTCCGTGTCTCCCGCGGCGGCGCAGCGGGGACACGGAATGGTCGGCGGCGTCGTGTCTGGGCCCCAGCCGACAGCACGCGGCGGTTTCTCCGCTGCGAGGGGCGACGCGTCACGTGGTCGGGTGACGATTTCGTGGCGCAGCTGCGGCGAAACGCGCCGTGAAATGGTAAACCTGCGGTGCTGATGCGGGTGTGTGTGTGAAGGTGTGCTGACGGCAGGCCCGGCTCCAGACAAGCGTGACCAGCGCGGTACTAATCTGACGTCCGCTCGGCGGCGGGGTAGCGGAGGCGGGAGGGGGGGGGGGGGGGGGCGACGGCGCTTGTTAATGCTGGCTTATTGTGTTTATGCGTGGGAGCGTGGAGAGGTTTTCAAACAGGTTTTCATCAGGGTAGCTCGATGCCAAGAGACTGTGGATGAGCGGTGATGATTCATAAATTTTTCAGAGAATTGAATATACAGTTTTTGTATAGGGTGAAAACAATTGACAGGTATCAGTGAAGTTTGACTCATGACGTCAGAGCCCTTTGCATCTCAAATGCAACACCTTAGAGAATCAATAACACAACAGTGCCAGGCTCGTGAGTAATCCGAGCCCGTGTATGGAGTGGTCCGCGTGTTCGGCGCGCCTGGTTCTCTCCGAGCCAGACGTCATGAGGCGGCGATAAGCTGCCGGCGAAACCCGGCCGGCGCCGCTGCGGTCTCGGCAAGGGATCGGACGGCGCCGTGGGACTGCAACGCCACAGGAAGCTAACATCAGCCCGCCACGGCAGCCGGCGCCGAGCGGGGACTGCAGCGTCGTGCCGACGAGTGCCCCGCTAGCACTACCAGCGGCTGGCCCGCTAGCGCTACCAGCGGCTGGCCCGCTAGCGCTACCAGCGGCTGGCTGGTTCTGGGTGCGCTGACTGTGCAAATGTCACCCTGCCCCTGCCCCTACCCCAACCTCCCGGGTATGTTTCCCCGCCGGCGGGAGAGCCCGCGACGGAGAGAAATCTGGGCGGCCGGTGCTGACGCTAAAGTGATATTGCCGGGCGCGGCGGTCAGGAGATAAACGGCATATGTACAACCAAACGTATGGGGAAACTAGAGGTAGGCTTGCTCCGTACCTCGGAAAAAGTGAGCCCTGGTCACTCCTTGTTCCAACTGGTGAGAGTACAGAATTTCATCACGGTGCCGTTGCCGGACATGCGCATCTACACCATCTGGAATCTAATTTCAAATTGGTTCGGACATTTTGAGAGAAAACCATGGCTGCAGCCGGGGAGGGGAAGGGGGCGGGTCGGGGGGCGTAGGGAAAGTATGAGATACTGCAGGATAAAGCGCGAACGGCGAGCAGCATGAAATGTGCACGCCGGAAAAAAGCCCAGTACAATGCATGTTGCGTTACCACATTATCCGGGCGGAGGCAGGAGTTGCACAATGCGGTCATAGTTTTATTTTGTAGGCGAGCCAAGTGGAGTGATTTATCTTTCCAAACATAAAGGGGTCTTGCAACACGCCTGACTTCGTCAACTCGTGCAAATCTCCTCCCTGCAGCTTGTCTAGCCCGTCTATCCCAGCTAGTGAGCCCCCAAGGTCGGCCGGTAAGCGGCCGTGCTGCGCGGCTACACACGATCCCGTTATACGGCTGTATGGGCCGCCTCGTGCCGTGACGTCATACTACCAACTGTCAGGTAGCACCTCCGTTTACGCCGGCTATCTGTTCGGAGTATTGAGGCTGGCACTGAGGAAGCTTATCCTCTCATGCAAGACATAAAAACAATACAAAACCCTCTGGCCAAGAAAATAAATCAAGGCGGACAAACAGATGTCTTGATCGGCATCGCACGGTGCAATTATCATTTATCAGGTGGCAAATATTGGAGTGATTTCTGGGCAGTTGGTGCGAATAACATACAGACTGGATCCTTTACAGGACGTTGCCAAGCACTCTTGAGCTGGAGCACCTGCTGCTAGATAGGCATGCTGTGCTGTCCAGCGATATTGTGGCTACCGTAAAGATCATGACCGCCAATGCCTGTTGGCAAAATTAAACAAAAACGGGAGGTTTTTGAATTGGCAAAGGCTGCACAGTTGGGCTGAAGATATCGTTGCGTTTTAAGGTCACACGGTTCATATCACTTGGATTCAGTACTAAGGCAGTCACCGTGAACGAAGCAATGCTATTCTGATGCACGCAATGATTGAGAAAATCACTTTTGGAGCAAGAGCATGACATTACATTTGCTCAACGGCCATGCCATGGCGTTATATACATCTGCCGCCGAACCCCATTTTCACGTACTCCACATCGACAGGTGCTGATCACCGGTGGCGTAAATCCTGCTGCACCACTTAAGAAAACTCTTCGACTGTCATGTACTGAAGGGGACACGAAATGTTCATGGCATGGAATCAAAATTGTTATTCCTCCCCTTCCAAGCAACGATGTATGAAGCGTATTACGTGGCACGTAACTGATTTTAATACTGTCATTAAATTAGATAACTAACTTTCAAAGCCATTTAAACAAACAATCAAAAGCAATCAGTCAACAACTCTCCCATTGCGGATCCTTAAGACACATTTGTCGCCCACCTGATTCCCAGTTCTGCTATTGCCGAGTTGATGCGACGACGATCGCTCTGCGTCTCGCGTTCCGATTCAAGCACCTTTCACTTTCGCGGCGCGGCCCCGTACTGAGTGCACCACCGAGCCGGCCCTTTCTTTTTATCTGGCTGGCCGTGGAACTGTGACGTCACCGCCGGGGATGGCGCGCCGCCGGAAGGGCTGGGGGCGCGTCGGTCAGCGCGCGGCGCGCGCGCGCCGGCGCCGTTGGGAAATAGCCTGAGGCAGGTCCGGGTCAGGTTGTGGCAGCCGCGCGACGCGCGCCGCTTGGCATAACACCATATGCTTCAGCGAGACGCTTGGGTAACCGAAGCGAGGGTGTCGCTCGTCCCTGACCCGCTGTGTCACCGCTCCTGACCCTTCTGTCCGGGAAGGGCTCGACCAGGACTTCCGAGCAGCTTCGGGCATGCTTGAAGAGGATCGTGCTGTTCTGGAGGTTTATTGGTCCTGGCGACGCGCCCGATCTCTTACCCTATAGTCGGGTGGATGATCTCAGCACGTGGCCCGGGACTGATCAACCACCTTCAGTAATTGGTCGAGTCGACTGAATGCGTGCTCTCCTCATTGGTGCTTATCCATACGTTTTTGTGGGTGTGTCAGGTTACGTTATTCGTGATCCCATTACGTTTGCTTACGTTACTCGGGCTCCCCTTTTGTTCAAATTTGTCCTGTTCGCCGAAGCTAACTTCCGCTGAAACATTGCCATCTGGTCATGAATGTATCTAGACCGCACCGTTTAAAAAAATACTTTAACAGTGTTGTCGCAGCATTTGCACCACATGGGAAAAGCAAACAAGCACAAAAATAGACCATGAAGGTGCTTAACATTTGCTCTAGACTGGAGATGGTGACCCGGTTTTGTGACACCGGTGGCGTAACATCCCACCCGCCCGGCACCACATCATCGTCATCAGCGGAGCGGGGCAGGCCTCCTCCGAGCATCGGGGACCCGGAGCTGGGGGGAGGGGGAGGCGACGGCACTCTCCTGACGGCGTTGTGGGGCCCTATGCTCCTGCCGGAAGGCTATATACATGCGCAGTATATGTACACTGGATTGTATTTAGACACGTTTGCTCGTCTACTTGAATGTTGTGTGATTGCTTTATAAGATCAGTATTTTTTGGAGAAGCCTTGCTGTGAGGAATTCAGAAAAAAATTATTTGGGAAGAGGAACTTTTTTGGCTTTCTGGAAGAAAGGCGACGGGTATTAAATGATCTGCAATAACTACGTTTCGTTGGGCTAAATAAGGTTAGGATGGGTTGGGCAATGTTAGGTCGGGTTAAGCTGGACATTAGTTAGATGTGTTCTGTGTTAGCATGACATCGAGTATGCATGTTTTGCTCGTACAAGGTTTCTCATGAAGGCAGTGAGGTCTGTACCTGTACATCAGGCCGTCTTTCATCGGCTTTCGTCCGGAAACATTCCGGAGCAAACATCTCTTTCGACATTTTGCGTTAAGAAACCATTGAAACAAGTAAGAAGCGTTATATGTGAAAATGGCTATGCTTGCCTTTTCCACAGTTGGTTTGAAATCCTCTTTGTCAATAACCGCCTGTTTGCTGTCAGGTCTGTCTGACAACATGCTTCATGACTATTGTTGCGATCATTACGCATCTACGCAAAACCTATCAGCGGCTCTCAATTATATAAGATTATCGGATAGCCCGACATCTAAGTCTATATCGGAAAAACAATCTAGCTCGTTGCAGGGCTCGATCTTTATCTTGCTTACTCATAGTACAGTACCTCATGACGCATGCGCGTCCCAGTTACTGCAGCGCCCGCGATGATGTCATTTTCCGATGACGCAGTACGGTACGTGGCATTCAGTACTCTTGTCTCAGGTGTTCTTGATTCAGTACTCAGTCGGTTGCATGCTGGCCCCAAACATTTAGCTATCTAAGTGCTGCTGAAGTATGAAAATAATTTGAACTTTGCATAGCTATAAGCATCTAAGTGAAAGCTATTTCGACAAGCAAGTATTCTTGATTCAGCAAGCCCAACTACGTACTTACAACTCGCCTGAGTGGCTAAAGCGTGACTCAATGTACATTTGCAAACATCATATGTGCAATCATGGGGCTTAGGTTCCGAAAACTTGTCAAATTACCGTCTGCAGCAGGGCATCACGTCCGTACCAGCACGTAGGCCCCATCCGTCGCACGTAAAGAGCAGCTCTTTTGCGTTTCCGCTGTAAACGGAAGAATTTTCCGTGATGATGGAATTGGGTCGCATCAGAAAATATGCTCGACCTCGCAGTTCTTGCAAGGGATGTGATACGTCATGAAAAACGCACCATTGCACTGATCCATCAAAATAGCGTAGCTAAAGCTGTACGACGGCGGGCAATCAGTCATTCTTGTAAAAGTTCTGCAGCTGAAACTACAGTGGTCTGCAAGTGGTCGGTCAAGACAGAACATGGGACTTTATACAGACACGTTTTTTATGGCACAAGGTGTATCTGGAGGTACCAGTCAAAACTGAACGGCCAATTTTTCTCTTTTAAAAGACGCGCTACATCTCGCCAGCCAACGCATATTATTGTGGCTTGGTCTGAGCTAGTGAAGTAATGAGAATTCCAATGCAAATTAGCGCACTAACAATATGCAATATTTTACATACACAGGCGGTAAAACGATGCAATACAACTACGCATGGCATCCCTGTCGCGGCGCCGGATAACTGAGGTCAAACTATACGTAACGCTACTATCATGCAGACAGTGCAGCTTCCCATCAGTAACCAGCAGGTCCTATTAGGTCATTGCCTGCGGCTGCGCTTCTTGCCTGCTCGGAATTGTCCTCGCCGCTCCCTTCTCCTCGAGATAAAGACATTATGTCAAGAGGTTTGCTGTTTGGTTTCGTGAGCCTGTCGCTTGCTGAGCCAAGCTCCCCTGACCTTACCACCCGAAGTAATCCGATCCCGCTCACCGCATCATTTCTTTCTACGACCTTCTTTCTAGATAGGACTGCGGAGGGTTTTACGTGCCGTACGGTACTCTGAAACGGCCTCACGGGTCATCTTGACCCAGTTTGGTCAGCCGCCACCAGATCTTTTTCCATCGGTCGGGCCAAACCTCAACACCGCCGCAGGTCCTCGTTAGCCCTGTTAAGCTAGCTGTCAGTGAACCTTTCTTCGGCAGGCTGGCATAAGATGGCGCCCGCTCCTGGGCTCGAGCCCAGCGCCGCTGTAGTGTAAGTTCACTGTATCCCTCCACCGCCCAACAGAGACCGACGACATTGCGTGCATGACAACGCTCATGACGCGCCGCTGTTCTTGTTGCTAGATTAACATTGCATGCACATGCTGAGCATTTGAGACAGCTCAGAGCCTACTACCGATCCAGGCAATGTACTATGTGTCAAAAGAGTTTTAATTTGCTTGATTCGGCCAGAGCTCAGCCGTCACGCACGCCTTGCCATGGAGTCAAGACCTCGAGAAACTCCGAAAATCTCCGACGGTCAAAAACCTCCGAGGGTCGAGAACCTCCAGCAGTCGAGAACCTCCGAGGGTCGAAAACCTCTGAAAACCATCGAGGGATGAGAAATTCTGAGAACCTCCGAGGGTCGAGATCCTTCCAGAAACTCCGAAGGTCAAGAATCTCCGTCGGCCGGCGTCCAGAACAAGCAATGCTTTCTTAGGCTGCGCTGTGTGATGCTGGGTAGTATTTACCCCCCCCCCCCCCCCTCAGATGCCGTCAGTGGCCAAGCCATATATCCGCCAAGCATCTATCTTAAGTTTTTGCTGACCGGCTGGTTCTTCAGAACCCTGCATACGGCATTGATCTGACGCCGTCGTCGGCGATAATTCGCAAACGTGCTTACTGAACGAACTCGCTGAATGTTTTTCGTCACAAATTGGCGGTTAGAGGGAGTGTTCCACATTTGCATGGGGTTCAGTACTGAAATAGGCATCTTGCAGATATTTCGGTATCGTTCACACGTTTGCCCCTCTTAAAACCTAAACGCATCTAGTTCCAGTGTTACACGCCCGCGAGGACGTGCAGACTTTTTCGTGGATACTTTTTCAAGATCACCCAGGTATACATGAAGCGACAGTAACGCCATTGAAATCCTGTCATTCCATTGGCCAAACGGCGATCAAGGCCAAGAAAAATATAACTGTCGTGTCGTTCACATCAGGCGTTTGTGAGCACAATTTTCAAATGTAACGACCGTTAGTTGGCTTCAAATCAATATTGTGCAAGGCACGATAAGGTGATAAAAAACGAAGCATTAAAGGGCACATTTCCTAAACAGAGAAGTTGGGTTGTCTGGAGCAGCCTTTTCCGCTTAAAAGTATACCAATAGCAGTGTGTGAGCTCATTTCATCATATCTGATGCCTGCTTCAATATCGTCAAGTGTGGAACATTCCATTAAGTCGTCGCCATCGTCACCGGGTTTTACGAGACACTCAGCTGTTGAGTCACCCTGGCAGGAAGGCCGGGTACTGCGGGGAATCGAACCCCGCAGCTCTGGCTTCCCACACGCGCACGTTACGTCTGTATTTGACGTCGTTTGTTCGGTTGCTATAATGCTATATTAGTTGCTTGTGTGTCGTAATTTTTGCCTCAGTTGAAGCATTTTTCCGTACCTTGGCGCATTGTTTTTCAGCACTTGCAAATCAGATCAGGGTGTGTTGCTTAGGTAAAATGATATGCCCACGGTCTTGTTTGGCACTCGTTCTGAAGGCCCTACCTTAGTTTTGAGCATTTCACACCACATTCTTGAAAAAAACAGGTTACGTTAGAATGGCAAATGCTTCTGCTAGTTACACACGGGGGCTTAAGAAAGTAGCATGTTGAGAAAACGATGTCAGCTGCCATCCGCCTGACGATCAACGGCTTCCTTAGCAACTGACGAAATCAAGAATAACAGTGCAGGACGGTCCCCTGAATTATAGGATACATAATGTCGGGTAATGCATGATTAAAACTAGATGTTAACAGCTAAAAATTGAAATAATTTCCAATTCTCAGTTTACAGGATCACAAAATGCAACGCGCGCAACCCTTTGACTACACCACTGCGTGCAGACGTAGTTGGAGGCGGTTTTAAAAAGCAACG